AGGCCCAAAGGGAAAGCAAAAGAGAGTTGAGTAGGAGTTGAAGTTGAATAACTGCTATTCAGATTAGGGGTCAGCCTTCAACTCCTCAGCAGGGCCTGGAATTGAGGCTAGGGTTTAGGATGGAGCCAAGAACTGTATTCACTTTAATAAAGACTGAGCTGAGAAATACTGTGCCTGACTGTGAGTAAAAATTAAAAATAATTTTTTACTGACTCAAATATGCAGTCTAGATAGTGTGTGCCTAGCCCAAGCCCCTTGGTGGAAGTGGGGTACTCCATGAAGAGGCAGAACCCCAATCCTGTATCACACGTAAGTGTGGAGTCTAACATCTTGCACTATCCTCCCAGTCCAGAAATCTAAACTGAAATATGAACGGCAAACTAGCCTGCAACACATCCTGTAGGGCCCTTGATAACAGCAAATCCAGCACCACCCCAGGGTTCTCACAGGTAACAACTCCCACTGCGGATGAATTCTGAATCTAATTGATTAAAGAATACAGTTTCTCTATCAAAGAACATAGAATAAAACAAATCAACTAAACTGTTCAAAGGAAACAAATACCATAACTTCAAAGTTTATAAAAGTGTTGAGGGGAAAAGATGGTGAAAATGGTGAAGATGACAGAGAGGAAGTTGCTGAGCCAACTTTCAGATGGGGACTGACCCGGTCTGAAAGCAGCTTCCAAGAGGATGGGTACCAGAGCCGTGTGAGAGGATATTAGCTGGAGGAAGGAGGTCATCCCACATCTTGTCATGGGTGACCTTTCTTGGGTCTTCAGTTTGTAACCATCTGAGCCTTCTCCAAGGGAGACTAGATGAACCTCAAATTATAGAAAACTCCAAGAGAACACAGCCTCCAACATTAGGATGACCCCATCTGAAGCAAAGAATATGCCAGCCCCGAGCCATACGAACAAGAAGCAAATGTCCTGCTCCACACAAGAGGGTTTCCTGCCTCAGAAAGCCTTCCCCAATGCCACCTCTGTCCCTAGGAGTGCTGGGAGGCTTAGAGGCAGCATACCCTAAGCCTGCCATCCTGTGAATCTGAGTGTGGGGTCGTCCCTGGGTGAAAAGGAAAATAAATATCCTGGAGATCAGGCCCTAGACAACTGGCCAGGAGAAATCAGATGCAAGTTCAACCACTACCTTTTGACTAGAAGCACTGTAGATGAGCACTGTGAAATGATGGCACATGAGCAAATGAGCTTGAAGCCAGCCAAATTGTGTGCTCACAAAAGAAACTCACTTGGCTTTTGGTGCTTTTTTTATAATCATCCATTAATTGTCCAATTATGTGTGAAAAGATCCAAAATAATCCCAGCGGACTGGTTCTCCTGGAAAAACATCATTCAGTGATTTAGATCTAAAACTTTTCATCATCTTGGCCACCACATAAGTCTATTAGTTCACATTCATTTCTTTGTGCTCCTGTGCTTAGCATGAATCAGAAATCTGAATCTGAAAATGGCCACATGATGGATCTTGCAGCTCTCTGGGGCCATTAGAAATTGCAAAGCTCCCAATATTCTATTCTCAAGCCTGGAATCATGCTAAACAGTATGCAATTTCCCTTAGAGAAAACAAGATGGAAGTAGGGAGAAATTGAGGGCAATGGTCCTCAACCCTCGCTGCACGCTAGAATCACCTGGGGTGAGCGGCTACTTTAGAGCAATATTGGCTAATACTGCTAATTAATACCCACTCGCACTAATCCAGTGATTGGCAACACCTAATGCACATCGGAATCTCCGAGAGAGCTTTTAAAAATACTGATGCCTGGGGTCCACCCCCACTGACCTGTCAAATCAGAGCATCTGGAAGATGGGGTTGTGGCATGGGTACTTTTTTAAAGCTCCTTAGGTACTACTATACAGCACAGGGAATAACTGTTCAGTAACTTGTAATAACCTATAATGAAAAATAATCTGAAATATATATATATATATATATATATATATATATATAAAACTGAATCACTTTGCTGTACATCTGAAATTAACACAGTATTGTAAATCAACTATATTTCAATTTTAAAAAAAGCCTTGGTTGATCTAATGTTCAGCCTGGGTTAAGAATGACTGCCCTAGTTCAGGCCTTTAGGGAGCATCAGAATCTCCTGAAGAGGTCATTAAATCAAAGGTTTCAAAGAAAGCAGTTAACAGACACCAAAAGTAGATTTGAGGCTCCCAAGGAGGAGGGGAGATGGGAGGATTGGAGAGTGACTGCTAAAGGGTTTCTTTGGGGGCTAATGAGAATGTTCTAAAATCTATTGTGGTGATGGCTGCACAACCCTGTGAATATATTTAAAGCCATTGGATTGTATACTTTAAGTGGGTAAATTGTATGTATGTGAATTATATCTCAGTAAAGCTGTTAAAACACACTCACATAGGTTTCTGCCCACCCCCAGAGATTCTGATGCACTGGTTCTGAAGTGGAGCTCATGAATTTGCCTTTTTAATGAAATCCCAGGTGATGTTAATTCTGTGAAGTCACAGACCAAACTGCTCTAGGCCACAGAAAGGCAATGGCATTCAAACTTTCTAGGATTTTATGAACACGATAACAGTTTATGAATGGTTAATGGTTAATGACTATATGTGGGTTCCCCCATCAGTGTTCTCTGGAGTAGTGTGGCTTTTGCATGTTTGTTTTGTGGATCACTTCACTCCTATGTGCCTGTCCTTCTAGAACAAGGGCTCTTTCTTCTGTTACCCTAGTCATAGAGGATCAGGTGACACTGATGCTTCCAGGGTTGTCTCATAGAAATGAAAGCAGAAATTGCAAAGGGAAAATGTGATATGAACCCAGAGGAAACCCAGAGGATTAGGACCATGGAGCCAGGAGATATCCGCTGGTTCAACCAAGCACTGTATGAGACCCTGGGAGAAGAAGAAAAGAATAGGGCATCTTTTTTTTATTTTGTGTCATTTATGAAATGATAAATAGCTACATATGAAAATCTAGATTTACCAAAAGGAGGCAAAGCAAGACTTTCCACTTATCGTACAAAACGATTCATCCCCAGAGGTCCTTCAGAATATTGAACTTTCTTGGTACCTTTAAACTGATGTACAATGTTTTACATTAATTTTCCCACAGTTTTCAAGCAAAGCCAAATTAGACAGGTGCAGGATAAACAGACTCTTAAATTATGAAGAGCAGGATTCCCATCAAACTAGCAGTAAGGATGGGAAGATTTGAGATGAGCACTTCCTGTAGGAATGTGAATGCCACTAGAGGGTTTGCCTGGCAAAACAACCCCGGTCAGACTTCCCTGGTGGCACAGTGGTTAAGGATCCACCTGCCAACACAGGGGACACGGGTTTGAACCCTGGTCCAGGAAGATCCCACATGCCGCGGAGCAACTAAGCCAATGAGCCACAACTACTGAGCCTGTGCTCTAGAGCCCGCGAGCCACAACTACTGAGCCCATGTGCCACAACTACTGAAGCCCACATGCCTAGAGCTCATGCTCCACAACAAAAGAAGCCACCGCAATGAGAAGCCCAAGCACCGCAACAAAGAGGAGCCCCCGCTTGTCACAACTAGAGAAAGCCCACGTGCAGCAACAAAGACCCAACACAGCCAAAAATAAACAAACAAACAAACAAATAAATAAATAAATAAATTTCTATTAAAAAAAAAAAAGCCCAGGTACAGGTGCCAAGGCCGATGCCCAAGTCTCTGCCACAACTGTCCCCAGGACTCCGGAGGCTTTCCGCCCGCAGTCAGTCCCTAAGTATCCCTGGTTAGTGCTGGTGCCTGCCCCCTACTCCAGCATGACCAAACCTCAACATAAGTCCTAGGCATTGCTCGCCATGCAGCTGCCAGTGGGGCTGTCACTGTTGTCACTGCTAGAAGTGAGGGGGAACAAAGGGACCACTTTTTTTTAAGGTTTAAATTTTGAAAAACAAGCTTGGTCACATTTTGAGAGGCAGCACAGAACAGTTGAAAGACTCGGGCTCAAATTAACAAGAGCACAGTAAAGATATTCAACATCTCCAAACTGCATCATCTGTTAAAACATAGCTAAACTGGTGGCGGGGTGGAGGGACATTGTAGAGAGGATAATGTGCATAAATCGCATAATAAGCCACACATTCCAGTGCCTGGCATATTAGAAGTATAAATAATAATAATAGCAGCCAATATTCATTGAGTATCTATTATTTACTAAATACTCTTCTAAGATTTATATATATATGAATTCATTTAATTCTCACAGTACTCTATTACAGGGGTCAGCAAACTTTTTCTGCAAAGACCGGATGGCAAATATCTGGGGTCTCGTGGCCCCATACGGTCTCTATCCTGACCACTCAGCTCTGCTGTTGTAGCTCAAAAGCAGCCGCAGACAATATAAACACATGGGCATATCTGTGTTTCAATAAAGTTTTATTTATAGAAACAAGAAGTGGTCCAGATTTGGCCTGTGGGCTGTAGTTTGCCAACCCCTGCTCTGTGAGTTGGGTGCTATCATTATCTCCATTTTACAGAGGAGAAAACGGAGGCACAAAGGAATCAACTGACAGCCCAAGGGCCCACATGAAATCTGATTATAAACTACCCACAGTCAACAATTAGATCATAGCAGCTGCTGCCATCACCATCCCATCTGTAAGCCTCACACTCAGAAGGGGCTGGCCACCCAGTCCAGATCCAGGTTCTCCTAACTCAGAAGGGGCTGGCCAGCCAGTTAGTCACCAGCACGCTCAGAGCTGCCTCAGAGGTTGAAGACCCAACTCCGATCCCCTCCTCTCCTTGCCCTGATATTCCTGGTTGAAGTTCTTCCTGGACCCTCAATGTCCTTATTCCCCGTACCACCCAGACTGATTTTAATTTTATGCATCTTCTCCCCAGCCTGTTTGGAAGCCCGGACCATGCACATCACAAGTGCTCAATTCCTATGCGTTAAATGCATCTACGAACCCACTGGCAGTGGGTGTGCAGGCCACGACAGTCAGGGACTGAGGGCAGAGAAGTAAGGGGACTCACCAGTCCATGGCAGGCACTGAGGGCTGCAGTCCCAACCCTGGTACCTTGCTGCAGAACTGTGCCCCTGAGATGGCAGGGGGGACCCGAGGAAGCCTCCATCTTCACATGGGAGAGGTTCCCATATCTCCTCTCCACGATGTAACTTTTGGAAAGTAATCCCTGATTGACCGTCAAGTTAAAAAACAGGTCCTTCTCCTCATGGGAAATACTATAGTACACCCGGTCCTCTGGGCCATCCAAATCTCTCTTCCTCCTGCTGCTGGTGACAGGATGGTGCAAGCCATAAGATAGAAAGTGCCCACTTGCGTCGACTCGGACAGGAGCCACCACGTGGTATTCTGGCAGGGCCTTGACAAAATGCTCTGGAAAAAAAGGAGACGCAGAATAAGCCTAAGAGATCCCTGCTAAATCTGTGGCAAGACAAATACACCTTGTTTGGAACTTAGATTTTACCCTGTTGATTGCAAAATCCCACTGTTGAAGTGTAGAGATCGTTTCCACCATACAAACACCATCAATATCAAATTCCCCGAACAACACAAATTTACCTGGGGCTGTCTCGTAGATGACCGGTGGCTCTCTGAGCTGACACCAAGACATAGCTCTGGATGTCAGATGTTTTACTGGAGACAAACTAAGACAAGAATTAACTCATGAGGAATATAGTTAGGAAAGGGGCAAGATCATTATGACAAACAGGAACATTTCAGGTCTAGAGTTCATTAATACAAATCACAGGGCTTCACATAAGGAGCGTAAATGCCTCTGGAATTTCCAGTTAAGTCATGTTGGAGGAATACTGCAAAAGCACAGTGAACCCATCAAGTACACTCTGACAAACCTTGCACGGTTACAGCACAAGTGTTCTGTAATGTAGCAATGAGTACTTAAAAGAACTTGGGTGTTTCTTTTTTATTTTTATAAAATATACTACATAAAATGGTAAGGGAACGTATTAGGATCAGAGGCATGGGGTCAAAATACGAAAATTGCCACTTTAAAAATGCAAGACATGCACACTTCCTCCTTCTTTCCACACACGAGAACACAGACACCTTTTGACTTCCTCAAATTGAAATCTCCACCACTGCCTCTTCATTCTCCTGTTTGAGAATAACAAGGAATCTAACTAGTAAGGAGTAAGCATCAGGCTCTGGATTACAGACGACTTAAAGCAAACCATTAATCACTTACGCAGATAAACGAATCTTTTGCTTCAGGCAAAAAAAAAAAAAAAAAAAAAAAGAGGGAGGGAAGGAAGGAAAGAAGAAAACAAAAGGGGAAGGAGAGGGAGAAGGAGAGAGAGAAAGAGGAAAAAAATCCCCCTTTTTTCTACTTTTCTATTTCCACCTCCCAGCTGTACCTCTTGCACTTTGTAACTTGCGTTACTTTGTTCAAGTTACCTCCCCAACTACAATGTCTTTCACACTCTCTATCAAAATCTTATGTTTAACATAATCTTATGCTTATTTTTTAAAGTCCCAACTCAAATTCTCCCTCTTCTTTCTCCTAATGTCCTTGCTTAAAGTTCTTTCTCCCTCCCCTGAACCCCCATGTCCTTACTTTCTGTAGCTCCCAGAACAGCCCAATTTTACAAAGCCTTTTATTATATTATTTATTCCCAAACCCTTTAGAGGCCAGAATCTTGCACATCACAGGTACCCAATTCATTTGTGTGGATGTAGCAGTGAACACATTTGTAGCTGGCTAAACAAAAGAACTGGACTTGATAGGGTACAATTATAAAAGAGTTTTTTTCCAGACAACTGCCTTCAAACACACTTGTCGTTCATCTGTGCCTTGGACGAAATATAAGACAGACAACATCAAAAAACAACCCAATTAAAAAAACGGGCAGAGGACCTGAACAGACATTTTTCCAAAGGAGTCATACAGATGGCCAATAGGCACATTAAAAGATGCTCAACATCACTAATCATTGGGGAAATGCAAATCAAAACCACAATGAGTTATCACCTCACACCTGTCAGAATACCTATCAACAAAAAGACAACAAATAACAACTGTTGGTGAGGATGTGGAGAAAAGGCAGCCCTGGTACACTGTTGGGGGGAATGTAAGTTGCTGCAAACCCTATGGGAAACAGTATGGCAGTTCCTCAAAAAACTAAAAATAGAACTACCATATGATCCAGCAATTCCACTTCTCAGTATTTCTCCAAAGAAAACAAAAGCACTAATTCAAAAACATATATGCACCCCAATGTTCATAGCAGCATTATTTACAACAGCCAAGATATGGAAGCAACATAAGTGTCTATCAATAGATGAATGGATAAGGAAGATGTGACATATATATACAATGGAATATTACTCAGCCATAAAATATCACTAGGCATAAAAAAGAATGAAATCTCACATTTGCGACAACATGGATGAACCTAGAAGGTATAATACTAAGTGAAATAAGAGAAAGATAAATACCCTATGATCTCACTTATATATGGTATCTAAAAAACAAAACAAATGAACAAACATAACAAAACAGAACAGACTCATAGATACAGAGAATAAACAGGTGGTTGCCAAAGGGGAAGGGGTAGGGGGATGAGTGAAATAGATGAGGGAGATTAAGAGGTACAAACTTCCAGTTACCAAATGAGTTATGGGGATGAAATATACAGTGTGGGGAATATAGTCAATAATATTGTCATGGGGAAACCTTCAAGATGACGGAGGAGTAAGAGATGGAAATCACCCTCCTCCCCACAAATACATCAGAAATACATCTACATGTGGAACAACTCCTACAGAACACCGACTGAACGCTGGCAGAAGACCTCAGACCTCCCAAAAGGCAAGAAACTCCCCATGTACCTGGGTAGGGCAAAAGAAAAAACAGAGACAAAAGAATTGGGACGGGACCTGCACTTCTGGGAAGGAGGTGTGAAGGAGGAAAAGTTTCCACAAACTAGGAAGCCCCTTCGAGGGCAGAGACTGCAGGTGGCGGAGGGGGGAAGCTTCACAGCCACAGAGGACAGCGCAACAATGGGGGTGCAGAGGGCAAAGTGGAGAGATTCCCGCATAGAGGATCGGTGCTGACCAGCAGTCACCAGCCTGAGAGGCTTCTCTGCTCACCCGCCAGCACGGGCGGGGGCTGGGAGCTGAGGCTTGGGCTTTGGAGGTCAGATCCCAGGGAGAGGACTGGGGTTGGCTGCATGAACACAGCCTGAAGGGGGCTAGTGCACCACAGCTAGCTGGGAGGGAGTCCGGGAAAAAGTCTGGACCTGGCTAAGAGGCAAGAGACCATTGTTTCGGGGTGTGCGAGGAGAGGGGACTCAGAGGACCACCTAAACGAGCTCCAGAGACGGGCGTGAGCCGTGGCTATCAGCGTGAACACCAGAGATAAGCATGAGACACTAAGGCTGCTGCTGCCGCCACCAAGAAGCCTGTGTGCAAGCATAGGTCACTGTCCGCACCTCCCCTCCCAGGAGCCTTGCAGCCCGCCACTGCCAGGGTCCCGTGATGCAGGGACAACCTCCCAGGGAGAACACACGGCACGCCTCAGGCTGTTGCAATGTCATGTTGGTCTCTGCTGCCGCAGGCTCACCCCACATCCGTACCCCTCCCTCCCCCCAGCCTGAGTGAGCCAGAGCCCCCTAATCAGCTGCTTCATTAACCCCATCCTGTTTGGTCGAAGAACAGATGCCCTCAGGCGACCTACACGCAGAGGCAGGGCCAAATCCAAAGCTGAACCTCAGGAGCTGTGCAAACAAAGACGAGAAAGGGAAATCTCTCCCAGCAGCCTCAGGAGCAGCAGATGAATCTCCACAGTCAACTTGATTCATGCGGCATCTGTGGAATACCTGAATAGACAATGAAACATCCCAAAATTGAGGAGGTGGACTTTGGGAGCAACTGTAGACTTGGTGTTTGCTTTCTGCATCAAATTTGTTTCTGGATTTATGTTTAACTTAGTTTAGTATTTAGAGCTTATTATCAGTGGTAGATTTGTTTATTGATTAGGTTGCTCTCTTTCTTTTTTTCTTTTTTAGTATAGATATATAATTTTTCCCCCTTTTTCTCTTTTTCTGACTGTGTATGTGTAAGTTTCTTGGTGTGATTTTGTCTGTATAGCTTTGTTTTTACCATTTCTCCTAGGGTTCTGTCTGTCCGTTTTTTTTTTCTTTTTTTAAATATAGTTTCTAGTGCTTATTATCTTTGGTGGATTTTTTTGGTTTGGTTGTTCTGTTTGTTCTTTACTTTTTTTTGTTTGTTTATTACTTTAAAATGTTTTTTTAATTTTTAATAATTTAAAAAATTTTTTATTATAATAACTTTATTTTCTTTTTTTCTTTCTTTCTTTCCTTCTCCCTTTTTTTCTGAGCCATGTGGCTGACAAAGTGTTGGTGCTCCAGCCGAGTGTCAAGCCTGTGCCTCTGATGTGGTAGAGCTGAGTTCCAGACATTGGTCAACCAGAGACCTCCGGGATCCATGTAATAGCAAACAGCAAAAGCTCTCCCAGACATGTCTGTCTCAATGCTAAGACCCACCTCCACTCAACAACCGGCAAGCTACAGTGTTGGACACCCTAGCTGGACATGCCAAACAACTAGCAAGACAGGAACACAACACCACCCATTAGCAAAAAGGCTGCCTAAAATCATAATAAGGTCACAGACACCCCAAAACAGCACTGAATGCGGTTCTGCAAGAAAGACAAGATCCAGCCTCATCTACCAGAACACAGGCACGAGTCCCCTCCAACAGGAAGCCTACACAACCCACTGAACCAACCTTAGCCACTGCGGCAGACACCAAAAACAATGGGAACTACGAACCTGCAGCCCGTGAAAAGGAGACCCCAAACACAGTAAGTTAAGCAAAATGAGAAAACAGAGAAACACACAGCAGATGAAGGAACAAGGTAAAAAGCCACCAGACCAAACAAATGAAGAGGAAATAGGCAGTCTACCTGAAAAGGAATTCAGAGTAATGAGAGTAAAGATGATCCAAAATCTTGGAAACAGAATGGGGAAAACACAAGAAATGTTTAACAAGGACCTAGAAGACTAAAGAGCAAACAAACAATGATGAACAACACAGTAAATGAAATATAAAATTCTCTAGAAGGAATCAATAGCAGAATAACTGAGGCAGAAGAACGGATAAGTGACCTGGAAGATAAAATAGTGGAAATAACTACTGCAGAGCAGAATAAAGACAAAAGAATGAGAATAATTGAGGACAGTCTCAGAGACCTCTGGGACAACATTAAACACAACAACATTCGAATTATAGGGGTCCCAAAAGACGAAGAGAAAAAGAAAGGGACTGAGAAAATATTTGAAGAGATTATGGTTGAAAACTTCCTTAATATGGGAAAGGAAATACTCAACCAA